AAGACGTCAGGATTTTAGTCCAAAACAAACCGAGCTACAGCTTCCTGCTCGTTACACGTCGGCTTCACTCGATTCTCAGCTGCTTTTAATCTGAGTTTGTAAAAGCTGGAGTCTTTCGCAGGTTTACCACAGCGGCTTGAAAACTGAGAAACGCTCAGGAAGACGTCTGAGAGTCTGCGACTGCACTCAGACTTAAAACAGAATCTGAGCAGACAAAGCGGTTAGGAACTTCCTGTTTTATATATTATAAACCAGGAGGCGGGCGAGGCGTGACCTGGATGGCGACGTAGGCAGGGTCAGCGCTCCTCCCGCTGCGCTGCACGTGGATCTGAAGTGTCCCGGCCGTCTCACAGGTTCTGTAGCAGGTCGCCGACAGCTCCACTCGAGACCAGGACAGCTCCAGCCTGCAGGAAAAAGAAGAGGCTTTTAGAGTCAGACAGCACCCCCACCTGACCGAAGGTTTCATTTATGTTCACAGAGTAACCACGAGCAGACAGACAGGATGTGATGTAACGTACGTCTGAGGCAACGCGCTGTTTCCTGCAGGATCTCTGAGGACAAACAGGAAGCTGTCAGACGTCACTTCCACGTCAGCGGGGAGGACGAACATCACGGCTCGCCGATCCACGTCGCGCTGCGTGAAACGACCTTTGATGTACGACCCTGATGGAGCGAGAGAAGGAAGAGGAAGCGAAGGAAGGCTTTTAATGTGACTGCACAGTAGGAGAAGCACGTGAGCCCCGCACAGGTGAGCCTGTGTAAGCAACCATCAGTTTCCTCGCACACCTGTGGCGGCGTTCTCCAGGTATCCTAAGTGTGGAGGTCTGCTGATGGAGAACTCGAGCTCCTCTGTGGGGCTGTCAGGGTCTGAGGCCTGCAGCTCTCTGCTGGTGATGAGGATTCCGTAACGGCCGCCGCCCAGATCTACCACGGTGCTGGGACTCCCCCTGGTGGTCAGAGTGGGAGGCGTCCGGTCGACCCAATCCACCTGAACACAGCAGGAAGTTAAATCAGTAACACAGAAACAGCGAGCCCTTTGGGGGGACGAAGATCAGAGGAAACTGAGCAGCAGGAATCGAAAAGAAACCAAACGAGTCAAACACACGCAAAAAACTTTTTTATTTTCTTTAGGGAAACATTTCGTTTGTGCATCCGTCATCAACTCATCATCTCACTTCAGGACCTGAATGAACAGTTTAACAAACAGAGGGTTTTCTGGGACGTGTCTTCAGATGAAGTTCAGAGGAGAGGATGAGGATGATTTGTCGGTCATGCAGAGATAACAGTCGGGCTTCAGTCAGGCTTACGGGTTCCCAAGAAAGTGTCGTTCGGTCAGCACTTTACAGAAACTCAAATCTGTGAAAGCGACAGATTCTTACGCTGCTGTTGTCACCAAACTGAGCACAAATAATCTCCCCCTCGTTCTCTCAGTGCCTCCTTTTCCTGAAAACGGCCTGCTGCACTACATCTCAGGATTTTTATGTTCTGGATATTTCAGAGAACTTTGTGAAGCAGCAGAAACAGGAAACTGATCAGTGTGTGTTATTTTACCCGTCACTCTCACACACACACTGTAGTAGAACAAGAGGCTGCCTGCAGTTCAGCTGCCGGACCACCAGGTGTCACCGATGTCCTGTGTATGAGTCTGTTCATGGATGATTCTGCTGACACTGATGAAGCTTATGCCATCCTCTGACTTCAGCTCTTTTTTGGTGTATGTAATTCATTTTCAGAGCAGGAACAGAACATCTGAATAAGACAAGGTGCTTTAATATCTCAGTGACCTGCAGCTCTTTCGGTTTCTAATATTTTAAAGAACAGAGGAAGGAGCCCAGTTTCATTCATCCGGGTTGCCTCTGTTAAGTCCAAACACAAACAGATATAAAATCTATGTTATCATCAGGTCAGAGATTTGTGCTGCAGGCATGAGCAGCTCCTCTGTGAGGGGATCCTCTGCTGCTTTTCATGGATGCTCCCTGCTCTAGTGTTACACATTATACATATCAAATGGCTTCTCTCACACACACACACACACACACACACACACTATTCAATGTTTGGTCCAATCACAGGTGGCCTGCAGAGTCTCAGAGGCTCGAGGTGATGGTGTTAGCCACCTGGCTGCCTGTCAGCAGGTAACCTGTGGGGAGGAATCCAACTCTGGGTCAAAATCAGGCTTTTAGTGGAAACCTGGAACTGGTTCCAGATCAGGACCAGCACCTCCTGTGTTTGGCCCATTTTCACTGCTGGAAGTTGCTGGTTTGAAGCCGTGTGCAGAGGTCCAGATCGTTGTTTGTTGGGCTCCGTCTGACCTGCTTTAGTTATTATTAAAATTTCGCGTTTCTGCTGTGAGATGAATAGAGTAACTCTACCTGTGGATTGATCCACACTGACCTCTGACCCTGCAGTCAGTGTTTGGTTCTGCTGGAGTTTTCTGCCTGATTAAATTGAGTTTTTCCTTCCCACTGTCCCCCCGTCACAGGGGTCATGTGGTTGTTGAGGTTTACTTTGTATTATTGTAGAATCTTTACCTTATCAAAAAACCGTCTTGAGGTGACTGTTGATGTGATTTTTGCTTATATAAGTAAAACTGAACTGAAATGTTCAGACTTCCTGTGTTGTGTTACTTCCTGTTACTTCGTCTGAGTTGTGTTGTGCGTTTGTGGCTCACCTGTATGTCAAACACAGCAGGCTCCTCCCTCAGCTGCCCAAACTCCAGGTAGCCCCTGTTGTGTCCGTCGCCCGGCATAAAGTAGAACCCGTCGATCTTCGCAGGGGTGCTCGGGTCGTGTTGGTAGGTCAGGTGGAGGTCGTCCACGTCCGTCTGGGAGAATCGGGGCGGCGAGGGCAGCGGCGTGCCTCTCAGCAGCAGCTTCCCGCGCTGCGGCAGCTGCGTGATGACGTATCCCAGGTTGGCGGTGGTAGTGTCGGGGTCGGTGAGCTGCAGCTGGTCCGAAGTGATGGTCACTGTGGAGCCATCCTGCAGCCGGAGGCCAACGTTGCGGCTGAGGGTGGGCGGGATGCGGTCACCATGCTCGATGGTGAAGTGGAGGGTGGAGCTGCGAGACGAGTCACCGTTTGTAACAACAAAACTGAGGAGAGAAGAGTGGAAGCAGTTCGAGACTGATCTTATATTTAGCGTCAACTCAGTTCTGCAGCGCCTCCCGATGGGAGAACATGTTATACAGGACATTGTCCTCAGGTTGAGGCAGTGTCCTCCAAACCAGTGTGTGTGTGTGTGTGCGTGTGTGTTTTGTCCTCTCTGCTCTGTGCCAACACAATCTGCCTCTTAGCCCTGCAGCTGACAAACTGCCTCAGGCCTACACACACACACACAGTCCTGGTGTAACATCTGGCTGCAGTAGCGTCCACGTTTGCCCAGGGATGGCCGTGCTCTGGTTGTCGGTCGCTGTCGTGCCAACGTTGTTGTTATTTTTCTAATAATACACATTCATCATCTGCTGTCACCACACACACGCACACACACACACACACACACACACGTGTGCACCTGAGTCCTAACACACATCATCAGTTAAAGGTAAATCCAGCCACAGCTCAAGCTCAGACTCTAAAAGAGGGTGTCGTGATCAGAATTAAAGGAAATGCAGTGTAGTTGAATCTTCTTTATCTGACTGATACCAGTTTGTTCATGTAAATGAAGCCTAAACTCTAACTCTAAACCTCGCAAGATAAGAAATACTTCCTCCCTAAAGTCTGGAAATGACTGTCCCCCAGCAGCCAATCAAAAAGAAAATACACAAAATGAAAACATCAACAAATTAAAGTCATTCGTATAGCTCTAACATGAATGCAGGTACTGAGGTGTGAGGTAGTAAAGAAAGTGTTCAATTATCAGTTATCCACATTCATGCACCACAGCTACAACCACTGGAGTCAGCTGATGGAGGAATCTAATCGGCGGAAGCAGTTATTAATTCCCGCAGCTTGTCACATGTTTTATTTCGTTCAATTAATGTTTGATGATAAATGATGACCTCACTCGCCATCGGCTCCACACAGCCACAATTTAAACAGACATAATCAGCTGGAGCTCCACAGGAAACACAGCACACTTTTTTACTATGCAGATGACACCCAACTTTATCTATGTGTGAAGCCAGATAACACACACCGACTACTTAAACTGCAGGGATGTCTTAAAGACAAAGACCTGGATGACCTCTAATTTTCTGCTTCTAAATTCACATAAAACCGAGGTTATTGTACTCAAACCTAAAAATCTTACAAATATGGTCTCTAACCAGATACTTACTCCAGTAACACCAGACCAGCATGTCATTCAGTTCACATATTAAACAAATATGTAGGACTGCTTTCTTCCATTTGTGCAGGATCTCTAAAATTAGAAACACCCTGTCTCAGAGTGATGCAGAAGAACTAGTTCATGTATTTATTATTTCCAGGCTGGACTACTGTAATTCATTATAATTCAGCTGCTCTGGAAGCCGTCAGAGTGAGGCTCTCTCTCTCAGTCTTGGCTGTGATCTGATTGGTGTTCTGGAGCCAGATAGCCAGCCGGCTGGGGCAGCAGAGGTCTGGGTGACAAACCCGGGGTCTGCACACACCAGCATGCTCCCCTCCTCCTCCTCAAAACCCTAACCGCTGCCAAATTGGCTGGAAAAGCAGATAAACATACTGGAGCAGAGAAAGCCTCTCGTCTCCTGATGCTGAGCCTTTTTTCCTCTCGTCTCCGTGCCCAGTTTTCTTTTGTTGGCCAAATGTTGTGTGTGATAGTTTTGTGTGTGTGTGTGTGTGTGTGTGTGTGT